CATCCCCACAATAAGATCTAAAATGAGAGAACGAAGGCTGTGTGACGGCAAACATGTGTTCTCGTAGGATCATCGCCTCCTTCAGGAGTTTAATAAAATCGAGCCTCCTCTGATCTTCGAGTGCAACATGGCCTGCTCCTGCCATAAAGCCTGCAAGAACCGAGTGGTTCAAGCTGGAATCAAGTAAGCCGGGATTATTTTCATAATAAATTTGCTGAATTGAGATGATTTGCATGTCAAATGAACCTCAGGTTTTTTAAAGAAAGCACTTTTGCATGAGCTGCAGGCTGAAGTGGATCGTGTGTTTCAGGGTGCGTCTGCAGCTCTACCGGACGGAGAAGATGGGATGGGGCGTCAGAGCGCTTCAGGACATTCCTCAAGGAAGTTTCATCTGCGAGTGAGTAAAACCGTTCAGACCTGTGGGAGACCAGCTTGACCGACCAGCTCAGGCCGGTTTAAGCCTGTGATTTCTGCTGTGTTTGTGCAGGTATGTTGGCGAGCTGATCTCTGACGCAGAAGCAGATGTGAGGGAGGACGATTCGTACCTCTTTGACCTGGACAACAAGGTGTCGTGTCACTGATTTCAGGCCAGATTGAAAACACGTTGACAAAATCATGCAAATTGCAGACAAACATCGCTGACACACATTTGCAGCAAGACTATTGACACCAAGAGCCACACAAATCTAGCTAAATGTAACTATAATATCACACAGCTCTAATCTGATAAATGCGACTAAGGCATGAAGATATTATAAACATTACATTGCATTGCGAAAAGCTATATACAAATACATAACGAATTTGAAAACCACTGAAAATTTTTTTTGGATTTCCTGCCCAAAAGCAGCATGCATGCTGGCTATCCATGTGCTTTGATGCAAAATGCAATGCAGTGTTAAACCCATCTATGTGCAATGTGAGTAATATTTTGTACTCGCACTACAAGAGCCACACTATCAGCAGCTATTGTCTGGAATACCACGCCATCAGACGGTTTATATATTGTATACTTTACATATTATTGATGTTTTTATGAATTTATTGAATGAGCTTTTATTTATATAATTTCATTTTAATTTTTGTTTATTTGTGAGTAATTTTTAACCTTTTTTATATTACTATTTAGATTTCAATGTGATTTTAAAATTTTAGTTTTGATTTATTTTCAGTTATTCATTCTAGTGCTTCCAATTTATTTCCGTCAGTTACCACGGCAAAATTCCTCACTTTTGTTTATTATTATTATTTACATTATATTCTATTATAGTTTTGATTAGTATATTCAATTTATTTTTATTTTTATAATTTCAGTTTCATTTTGATTTTCCCCTTTAGTAAAATTTTGTAATTTTGCTCCGTTTGTCATTTTTAGTATATTTTATTGATATTTTTCGATCAGAGAGAGATGAAAGATGTGCTTTGATGCAAAATGCAATGCAGTGTTAAACCCATCTATGTGCAATGTGAGTAATATTTTGTACTCGCACTACAAGAGCCACACTATCAGCAGCTATTGTCTGGAATACCACGCCATCAGACGGTTTATATATTGTATACTTTACATATTATTGATGTTTTTATGAATTTATTGAATGAGCTTTTATTTATATAATTTCATTTTAATTTTTGTTTATTTGTGAGTAATTTTTAACCTTTTTTATATTACTATTTAGATTTCAATGTGATTTAAAATTTTAGTTTTGATTTATTTTCAGTTATTCATTCTAGTGCTTCCAATTTATTTCCGTCAGTTACCACGGCAAAATTCCTCATTTTTGTTTATTATTATTATTTACATTATATTCTATTATAGTTTTGATTAGTATATTCAATTTATTTGTATTTTTATAATTTCAGTTTCATTTTGATTTTCCCCTTTAGTAAAATTTTGTAATTTTGCTCCGTTTGTCATTTTTAGTATATTTTATTGATATTTTTAGATCAGAGAGAGATGAAAGACAATATAACACGTTTCAATACGTTGAGCAAAAAACGAACAAAATTCAAATGAGATTAAATAAAAAATTCATTTTTCTCTGGATCCGTTACAAAAAAAAAGTACATGCTCCAAAATTCACAAGTAAAATATAGAACAATAATATATATTCATAGTACATGTATCCATTCTCTGTTTGTCATTTTTATTCATATTCATTTTTGTATTATTTACATAATATACAATTATAGTTTTTGATATATCGAATTCGCTTTTATTTTTATATTTTCTGTCTCATTTTAATTTTAGTAAAACTTTTAGCAATTTTTAAAATTTTGCTTTTATCTTTTTTTATTATTCTGTAATTACTATTTAGGTTTAAGTTTATTTTATTTTTTACTTCTAGTTCAACACAGCTTTTCGTCTAATATTTTCATTTTTATTTCTACGTTATTTCAGTTAACGAAAATGTTTTTAATAGCTTTAGTTAACTATAAATAACCCTGTCTGTCTCAGGATGGTGAAGTGTACTGTATTGACGCCCGTTACTACGGTAACATCAGCCGCTTTATAAACCACCTGTGTGACCCCAACATCATCCCCGTACGTGTGTTCATGCTGCACCAGGACCTGCGCTTCCCTCGCATCGCCTTCTTCAGCTCCAGAGACATTTTCACCGGACAGGAGCTCGGGTGAGAGATGATTGTTTGTAATCTCACAGGTGAACGCTGTATTTAATTGCTTTATGGTTTTATGGCACACAACCTCACGGCTCGATCCCTAGGAATCGGTTGTATTTGCATCCTGTTCCTGTTAATATATTTTCCTCCTGTTTGTTTTATGATCACTGATTTTTTTATATATATATTTTTTTTAATCTCTGACAGGTTTGATTACGGCGATCGCTTCTGGGACATCAAGAGCAAATACTTCACCTGTCAGTGCGGCTCAGAGAAATGCAAACATTCGGCGGAGGCCATCGCACTGGAGCAGAGCCGGCTGGCCCGTCTGGAAGTCTGTCCTGAAACAGCCGGTGAAGCCGGACTCCCTGTGTTAGGACCCTCGTGATGAGACCCTGAAATGGGATGCACACATGTACAGCTCTCAAACGTGTGCTTACATGCAATTATCACAGTGAAGGTTGTGTTTGCATCTTTGCATTTCTTCCATCTGACAGGACTTAAAGGAAACTATGAAATGACACAACGGAGCACGCAAATGCCTTTTGAAAATACCACCAGGAAGTGACATTCAAATTCAAGGCCGTCATTCCTGCTCGGACTAGGAGGGGAAATGTTGCAAAACCTGTGATTTTATGCAAACTGTCATCAGATCCCGAACAGACCCTCTTTTGCATTAAAAAATGCAAAACGTGAGCTTTTTTTGTATGTGTAATTGTTTTAATAAATACTGTTTGATACAGAAATTGTCTTCTCCTTTTGTCGTTCTCACAAATCACAATTTACCATGGTAATCAAATGCAATAGTTCAATTATTGTTTTTATTCCTACTGCAGAATCATCAATTACCATTAGAAGTGATACTGAGGTGGTACAATAGTACAGTGAAGGTTTCAGACGGCGATATTTTGGTACTTTGATATCTACCATATTTATTCACCACACAATTTACATGATATTTGACCGTTTTCATATCGCACATTCTTCCTCGTGTGTTGACTTGTATTGTTAGTCAAAAAGTGTGTCACTGAGTGGATTTTAGTACTCATTTCTGATAAGAGTCTGGATTATTGTACAGATAAATCAATAATCCAGGGTCAGTGTTATCAGTCTTAACTCTACTGTGTTGTGAAATGAGGATAACAGTGAAATCTGAAGATAGTAAACAGAAGCCGTCTATTGTTCTTTAGTTTACACTTATTTAGTTTGAACTCCACCAGTTTCATGACGTGAAAAAAGAGTAAATATACCATATATGCACACGTGAAGGTTAAATAGAAACAATTTTAGCAGCGTTCAAACCTTTTTATACAGTCTGGTTCAAACCAGGGGCGGCTCTAGAGGAGCCGAAGCCCCGAATCAATGTTTTTATTTGTTTTTAGTTTTCATGTGCATTAAAATCATATCTATCAGAACCGTGGATTTGCTCTCTGCTCATCCAGTGTCTACTTGCGTTGACTGATCAATTCATTAAAAGTTTAAATCAGTCGTTTTGAAAGAATAACCCGCCACCTACTGTAATTGTAGTTTCATATTTAAAAGTATCATTCTATTTTTTTCTATCTGTTCATATTTTTATATTTAAACATTAATCTCTTAACATTAAGCAATTTGTAAGTGCAGTGTAAGTGCTAAAAAAAATAATAACAAAAAAATAAGTGTTTAATTAGGCCTATACTTGACTTTTTTTAACAAATCCACTTAGCCAATGTAACCTTTAAACACACACACACACACACAATATAACATAAAAGATTTCATTTTATATATACATACATATATATATATATATATATATATACACACACTGTGTGTATATATATATATATATAATATTAAACTTGTATTTATATGATACCATTGAAAATAATAAATATATATATAAACAAACAATTTTTATGTTTCTCTATATATGCATAATTTCACAGGCAAAAGTCATTTTTGAAAGCAAGATTTTTGTGTTTCATGTGAACAACTGAACCGAAATTCCCTTTAGCATGGATCTGTGTTGAAATGACTTGATTTCGCCTTGTACAGCACACAGCGCATCAATACAACAAAAGCCACTTTTAATATTTATTTATTTATTTATTTATATATAATAATTTAGCATGTTGAAATGTTGAAATGACTTGATTTCGCCTTGTACAGCACACAGCGCATCAATACAACAAAAGCCACTTTTAATATTTATTTATTTATTTATTTATTTATTTATAATAAAAAAATCTGTCACAAACATCAACGTTGCGTCGTTGAAACCGTTTGACAAAACACAGTTTGAGTTGCACGAAACGAAAAGCTGAAAACTGTCCATTTCACAGTTTCTCAGGCTGCAATAATCACGCACCTGTAGAGGACGCGTCACGGCGTCAGGTGAGCTCTCGCGCAGCGCGCAGCGGCAGGTGCCCCGTGACGTCACCACGGCGCTTAGTTACTCCACCAAAGATTTACCGACAATACAACAGCAGGACAAGTAAGAGATTGAGATGAACGCTGCAGAGCAGTGAAACAGCTCGAGAACGTTTCACACGGTTTTCAGACACATGATCGCGAAGTGAAAAGATGGGCCGAAAGAAACAGGAGGAAGAGCAAAACAACCCCGAGTATGGTAAGTGTGTTTCTGAGTACAGTGAGAGCATTCTCAGGAGGATCCGCTATAATGCAACATGAGTTCATACCTACTTCAGTGTTACGGTATAGGCTATAATCAATATATGATAGAAGTTGGCAGGTCATCAGGGAAATAAACAACTGTGAATTACTTGCCTGGAAAATTAATATAATCGTAAAAGGTAATATTTCCATAGTGAATACTGTATATTTTATATTTTGGTAACACTTTATTTAGACATTCTATTAACAGTAAGTAACTTTGCAACTACAGGTCAACTAGCAGTTAGTAGAGTATTAGTAGACTGTCTGCTTAATATCTTTAAACACTTTCTTTGTCAACTTATTCTACTAACCCTAAACCTACCCTAACAGTCTACTCTGAGAGGTAGTAGACATGTAGATGCAAATGAATGAGAATTAGTTGACATGTAGTTGACATGTAGTTACAAAGTTACTTATAGTTAATAGAATGTCTAAAGTGGACTATCGAAATAAAGTGTAACCTATATTTTTGCCTAGCTCTCCTGCGCTCTAAAGTGTTTGTGTGTGTATATAATATTTAATATATATATATTATAAAATATAATATATTAAACTTGTATTTATATGATACCATTCAAAATAATATATGTATATATATATATATATATATATATATATTAACACATTTTGTGTTTCTCTATATGCATATACAAGTTTTTTTTGGGTGGTCTGTGATAATTAAAAATAATATGAATAAAAATGTTAATGGCATATCCTTTAGTTAAGTATAAAGTAAACACATGTGTGTATTCACAGTGACTCTTGCAAACGATGGCTTGCTTTGTAAAGGGTGAGCTTGTGAACCTGATCCAGCCCTTATATTAAACCGACACAAACGCTCCAAACCTGTAAAAACTGATCGTTCTGCGCCCTTCATTCTGACAGGACAATATCTGCAGTCTGATCAGAGACTTCACTGTCTGAGATGCTGCTGTGAAGTCACAGCTCAAGCCATTAGCTCAGATGTCAATCTTTACGATGCCTTGATAGTTAAGAAAAACTGCTTCATGATGCCTTAATGGATAAAGAAGTCATTCTTGAGCATTGGAGTATGACTTCTCATCGTTGTTTCAACATGTCTCAATGCTCTTCTTCCTGTGTACATTTGAGCAACAGGAAAGAGACGTGTGTTAAAGATCTATTTTTTTTATAGTTTTTTCTCTGTTTACTCTGATCTGTGGTGTTTATGTCAGTCGATCGTGGGTATGTTTCCTTCCTGGTCACCCAGTGTGCGTCAGTATAAGAGAATGCTGGAGATAAGACATTTCTTGGAGGTTCAGTCACTGGATAACAAGCCTGTTGGTCGACATTTAAAACAGGAAGAATCAAATATTCATAAACACACGCACGTTCTCACACGCATGGTGTGCTTTAGAAACGCTGATATCATTTTAGCATCTTTTTTTTTTTTTTGGAGTGTGGAAATAATTTCTGAAAGATATGATAACACACACAGACACACACACACACACACACACACACACACACACACACACACACACACACCACAACACTTTTATTGTTTATGCTGTATATAAAGCTAAAGTTTTAATCTCACCACTCATTAACCCTTACTTTAAAGAAACATTTTCGCATTTTATGGCAAGGCACCCTGGGCGGATAGAGTAAAAAAAAAATATAATAATAATAATAATAACCAAACGTTTTCACCATACTTCCCAAGTTGATTGATCACATTAAGAATTGCAAACATTGTTTGTATTACAAGTTTTAAATATGCATGTAAAAATGCATGTATATGTTTAAATATGCAAATGATACTTCATCTAATTAAATATGCACATATTTGCATACAATTCCAGAACATAAATGTGAATATTAGATAAAACCAATCTTTCAAAATTGTTTAATTTTGTTGACATATTAGAGGTGATTTTGGATATCTCCTTTTATTCCATAAATCAGAAAAATGTTGTTTAAAGTCAGGGGAAATGTATATTAACAAACTTTCAGAAAATAGAATCAAACTTTAAAGTATATAAGTACCGCTGAACTGGAGGAGAAAAAACTCACAGCCTTTAAAGATATGTATTTCAACTGAAATCTACAGATGCGAACATATAAAGTGCAATAAAATAAACATGTACTTGTTTATTACATGTTTATTGCATGCTTTCTTTCCACTATGAAAAGTAACATAGCCCAAAATTAACTAGTGCATGAAAAAACAATGTTTTTGCTTCTAGTGTCTTGCCTTAAAAAAAAAGAAAAGAAAAATATTTGCTTTATCTATGAAACAATTTTCAAATTACACCCCAAATGTCTTTAAGGGAGGTTTTGTCAGAAAGCCCGTTATATAAATGCATGTTATTGATGTTATTCTGAACGATTCCTCTATGTATGCATACATTTCATTTTTAAAATGTATTCAATTTTTTACCTCATATTTTTTTTTAACTAAATCTTCTGGTAAAATGACAGACCTCTCTCTGATGACATATGCAGGACTTCTCCAATCATTTTGTTCTCCTAAACCCCGCCTCTTTCTTACAATCATCTGCAAGCTCACATATATTTTTGGAGTGCCACGCCCACATCTCAATATCCAATCAACAACCGACAAATAGAAACAAGTCTCCTCCTTACAATTTTTCTAAATCCATTTTAAACAGATGTAGGTGCCATACAGGAAAAAAAGATCTATTGCTACTTCCGTTTCATCGCAACTCTAAGTTAATTATAATAACTACAGACTAACCCACACCCTAAAAGAAAACTGAACAGAACATTACTTCGTTTATGAATAATTTTTGACATTGAGAAGGGATGTTTGCCAGGTTTCATTCGCATCTCGAGGCAGTTTCATCCTAAAACTACAGCTCAAAGAAGATGAGGTTCAGCTTTCAACTACTGACCTAGTTTTTTTTGTTTTTTTGGCAAATTAGCTCAGGTTTCCTGTTGTTTCCTACAAAATTCAACAGAATTATTGTAATTCATTGTAGTTCATTGCTGTCTATTCTTGGTACACTTGTAAGCATGTGTGTGATCTCTGATCAGGGTGTGTGTGTGGTTTACTGTAAGCCCCTGTAATGCTTCACACAATGAACTCCACATAAAACCACACACAAAATCTATAGCCTTTCTTTTACAAGATGCTGTAAATGTCTCTGACAGCGAACATGTTCTGCGTCCTAAAGGCAAATAACCGTGTGTGTGTGTGTTGAGTGTAATGTGATACTGGATTGTACACTGGATTGTTGAGAAACAGGTTGGTCTGGCATGATTTTTGCTCCCATGGCACACAATTTTTATTCCTTTAAACATACAGTACCATTCAAAAGTTTGGGGTCAGTATAGGTTTTTATAGGTTTTATTTATTTAATCTATTTTTTGTGTGTGTTTTGAAACAAGGATGCATTAAATTGATCAAAAGTGACAGTAAAGACATTTATAGTTTTACAAAGACTTCTTTATCAAATAAAGGCCGTTCTTTTGAACTTTTTTAGTCATCAAAGAGTCCTGAAAAATAAAATGTATGGCAGTTTCCACAAAAAATCTGAAGCAGCACAACTGTTTTCAACATTGATAATAATCAGAAATGTTTCTTGAGCTGCATATCAGCATATTGATTTCTGAAGGATCATGTGACACTGAAGACTGGAGTTATGATGCTGAAAATTCAGCTTTGACTTAAAGGAATAAATTACATTTTACATATGTTTATATAGAAAACGGTTATTTTAAGTAATAATAATATTTCACTGTATTACTGTATTTTTTATCAAATAAATGCAGCCTTAGTGAGCAAAAAAGATTTTTCAAAAACATTTAATCTTACAAACCCAAACTTTTGTATGGTGTTGCATATATTTTTAGAGTTGAGAAAAGCCATGCAAAACTAGTTTGACTTTCTAATTGCAAGTTGTTGTGGTTTATTAATATTTGCTGAGGTGTTTGGGGTTGATTTAATGCTGTATAGTTAAACACACGTCTGTGGGCTCATGAGTCACACAGAGCTTTAAAGAATAAGTTTCCTGCTTTTTTGTTGTGACTTCTTCCATTCATACTCATTTACAGCATCACTTAATCGTGTGCCTTAAGTTAACAAAGCAAGTACTTTTTTACACGCTTACAGAGTAACTCATTTAAGTAATTACAAGAAAGATGCATGTTTAGGATCAAAGAATTTGTCTACAGGACCTGAGACTAGTCAGCTCTTGTATTTCTGGCTCATGTCAACATTTTGAACATGTTATATGTTGCATTGTGTTTAGATGCGTGGACATCCAGATATTAAACTCGCATACAGTCTTCAACAAACTTACATTGAAGAAGCCACTGAGTAGTTAGATTAACACAAATAATTTATTGCGATCAATCTAATGATTTTTTTCATCAGCTTGACTGATGAACTGCTTTCATTTTTAATGCAACCATTACATCTACAAAATAATAAGCAACTTGCGCATTAACATTACTACTATTAACTATGAGTTTAGCTTATGGTAATATTTTGTACTTGTTGATGAGAATTAAATTTTTCATTCAACGACTTTGCTTTTGTTAAGTCCCATATGCGTATGAGTAACAGCTGTATGCAAAGTTACTAGGTTTGGTCTTCAACCATTTTAATTGGGTAAAAATTCAACAATTTGCCCAGGTGAAAAATAAATATATTTAAATTGTGCTTTTCCAGACATACTTACTATATTTAAATTATACTAGACTAAGTGCATATTAAATGTATTATTTTGAAACAACTTTAAGTATATTAAGTGTATTTCAAGATATGTTTAAGTTTAAATTTTAATCTATTTGTAATATATTTAATATATTGAAATTGTGTTAAATTGGAACCACTTGAAGTATATTTAGTGCAATTTAAGTGTATTTCTTAAAATACATTTAAAATGTCCTTTTAATACTTCATGAACTACAGTTAGCGTATATTTGAAGCATTGTTTTAATGTATTTCAAGTACATTTCAATTGT